TCAGACAGCAGGACACGGGGAACACCAACACTCAGACAGCAGGACAGGGGGAGCACCAACACTCAGACAGCAGGACAGGGGGAGCACCAACACTCAGACAACAGGACAGGGGGAGCCCATACACTCAGACGGCAGGACACAGGGAGCACCAACATTCCAGGATAGGGGTCAATAGAATTGATATTTTTCAAGAGGTATTTCTGAGAATTTCTTTTATTGCTTTTTGACTTTCAGGGGTTACCTTTGGTTTTTAGGATTTCTTTATCATTTTTCTGACTTCTTCATTGAATTATGAGGTCAATTAGCCACAATAATGTCTGGATTTGTGGGCTTTACTTCAGTGGTTTCTTAGAACATAGAACACACAACGGTACAGCACAGGAACAGGCCCTAAGCCCACGGTGTTGTACCGAACATAATACCAAATGAAACTAATTCCTTCTGCCTGCCCTTGGTCCATATCCCTCCATTCCTTGTACATTCATGTGCTTATTAAAAGTCTCTTAAAAATCCTTGTCATATCTGCCTCACCCACCACCTCTGGTAGTGCATTCCAATCTGCTACCAATCTGTGGGTAAAAAACCTGCCCCTCATGTCTCCTCTGAACTTTCCTCTCTCACTTTAAATGCATGCCCCCTGGTATTAGATATTTCATCTCTGGGGAAAAAGGTTCTGATTGTCAACCCCATCTTTGCATTTCATAATTTTATACACTTCTGTCAAGTCTCCCCTCAGCCTCTGCCACTCCAAAGGAAACAACCTGAGTTTTTCTAGCCTCTCCTTATAGCTCATACCCTCTAATCCAGACAGCATCCTGGTAAACCTCTTCTGCACCCTCTTCAATGCTTCCACATCCTTCCTGTAATGTGGCGCCCAGAAATGAACACAGTACTCCAAGTGTGGCCTAACCAAAGTCTTATAAAGCTGCAACATGACATCCTGACTCTTGTATGCAATTCCCTGACTCATATAGGCAAGCATGCCAATTGCCTTCTTTACTTGCGTGGCCACTTTCAGGGAGCTATGGTCTTGAACCCCAGGGTCCCTCTGTACATCAGCAGATCAACTGACACCTTGGGCTGCTATTCACTGCCCACCTTATATCTCCCCTCCCCCAACCAGCCAGTCCGCAGACACTTGGGTCTTGCCACCCCCACCTATTGGATGTGTACTCACCTCACTGAATAACCACTGCTGCAGCAGTGAAACTCTTCTTTTGGTTCAAGCATTGGTTACCTCTTGTCCTGTCCTTGCTGCTCCAGTAATTGCAGATTCTGTCTCTTGAGGATCAGCAAGTGTCAGACAATGGAAACTGGTAGAGCTACAGCAGCAGCCTGACAGACAGAATCAAATTTAATAAGCAGTTACCGGCAAGTTCTATCTGTCCAAAGTACAGAAGTGACTGTTTTCAAACTGGTCATCATAAATTTGTTTCACAGCATTTTTACTTACACATATTTACACAGTAACACACACACATACTCACACATATATATTCATACAGTCCCACTTACAGACACATACACTCTCCTTGTGACAATATGTACCTTTCAGAGGGATTTGTTCTGTCCTGTTTCTCTTGAGGAGATTGTAAACCTGGTGCAGAGGTGTCTGTTCCATGGAAAGCAGAATAAATAGCTTTGCGTTTTTAAAATTTAGAAAAAAGAAGCACGAGTGGGTGGAGAAAGGCTCACACAGACCCAGGGATTTAGTTTTGCTTTCAGTTGTTGAAGTTAGGTTTTGAAGTTGAAGCCACTAGAAACAGTTCTCTCTACTGCTGCAAAAGTTTGAGTTGTCTCTCTGCTGCTAGGTTCGTTCTGTTGGCGTGCCTTCTCCTGGGCTGTATTTTTGTATTGTATTGTGTATTTTAATTGAGGTTAATAATAAGGTGTGTTTTGTACAAAACCTAGTAGTTTGACCAATCGGGAATGCGGTGCCTTATACTTCCCTCTAAATAAAATAAAACTTAGGGTTTAGGCTGATATGTTTTGAAGGGTTTGGTCTGGTGTACACACACACACACACACACCACTGTGTACTGTGCACAGGCATCGATACTAGCTCCACCAACATTCTTCAAATAACATATCCTCACACCAGCCTCATAGAAACTCCCCATTGCCCAGCCCTGGCCATGTTTATATTAAAGATGTACCTGAATAGTGGAGAGAGGGTCGGTCTGTAACAAACTCTGGGTTTCTCCATCTATTAATGCAATCTGTTCCATCTTTCTGTTTAATGCTTCAGAACAGCTTTTAATCTGAGAGAGAACTTGGAGCCCCTCCTCGTCGATCAGTCTCACAGTGGATTCTTCATCTTCATCCAGCTTTTTCCTCCATTCAGAGAAGTTCTTTGATACCTTTCCTTTCAGCTCATTGATTTGTGTCTGAAACCCAAGCCAACTCTCATTACAAACAGCCCTTCCTCACAGCTGTTACCATGAGCACATAGCACTTTCCAGGGACAGGACAGCTTGTTTCAATCACTACTATCACCTTTAAGGATAGACAAGCAATGGGAGTGTCCACTGGGAGGGAAAACAACATTTTATCAGGGGTACCTTGAGTTTAAAAGAAATGGCACTGTATTTAGACTGGGGTGGCACTGCTACCTGTCCATCCATCACCTGGAGTGATGGCTCCAGTTTTGGTGCCAGAACCTGGTGAAGGAGATTGAGATTCTAAGTGGACGGTAACTAGAATGCCAAGGAGTGTAATGGATTTTAGTTGAAGGGATCGGCTGCAAAGGATCAGTAGATTGAGATAAAGGCAGACAGAAAGAAAGACATGCTGAAGATGTTCAAAACGATGAAGAGATTGTTGGATCATTGGGTGAAGTATTTGAGAACGATCAGTATGGTCAAACTAGACAGCCTCTGAATTAAATGCACAAACACAGAGTTAGATTAGACACTAGGATCCTTGATATCTGGAATAGAATCCCTAAACATATGGTAGGATTGGAGTCACTCCCACCCTTTAAAAGGAAGCTGGAGTGGAATTTCCCCTGAGTTTGTTCTGAATTGGCTACAGGTATTTGATCTCATTTCCGTTTGCCTTTCCTAGGTCAGGACATGGTTCAGGGTGGATCAGTGGGTGTGTGATTGAACCATCTCTGCATGGGGCAGGCTCACTAGGATTAGTGGCATTTTCTTCCCTTTTCTTTCTATTTTCAGATTATCCAGGCTCCAAGACAAGTCTTCAATTGCCAGCCTCTGACTCTGTGTGTTTCAGTAAATCTAGTGTCCTCGGGAGATGCAAGGAGAATTAAACAGCTTTCCCGTCACATCAAACGCACGGGAACTCAGTATAATCAGCGATTCAGTACCAACAGAACCAGTCTGGTTTGGAAGGTCTGCTTCTGAGGTGCTCACTGACTCAGTGAATCAAGATACTTTGTCCAAATCCAATCCCCATTTTCCCGACCTTTATTTCAGCTTCTGATATCTCCAATTCTTTCTTTTTGCTGGAACAAGTCCTCTGGACTTCACCAATTTTCTCAATTTCTCTCTCTAATTTCACCTGGAAAGACATTTAGAAATTGTTTAAAATAACAATCTGTTTTATGTTGTGCTTTTAACATCATGAAATATCCCAATCATCATCACAGGAGTGTAATCAATCAAAAATTACTCCTAAATCAGAGGAGAATTACTGAATTTAGTGAATGAAAATCCATGGTGTTATGTGATCACCCTAATTGCTGAGTTTAAGGTGATTAGTTTGCCTCTTTACCTTTCGATGGGACACCCCTCAGTAAATATGTAGCATTGTTTGTGTCTCTCCACAAGTCTATAAGGTGCTTATACTGAGGCCCCAGTGGTAGAGTTTGGATATGCAGGAGTCCTGGCTGTACTAAATATGTTTAGCAAGGGCCTCTCTCATGGTGGTCATTCTAAACCTGTCATTTGACCTTGATAGATGTCACAATGAACTTGTGAGTTACTTGCTATGTTTCACATTCCTTGATCCAAAGAATGTTAATTGGTAGATCATACTCAGAAAGGTTGTTCCAAATGGGGTGCTGAGATGGAAGGCAGGCAGTAGATGGATTTAACAGGTTATCATGGAGTGGGGAAGTGAGGTGCAGCATCATGAGTTAGTGGATCAGAGTGACAGTGATGTTTACGAGGACAGGAAGCTGGCAGATGGCAGGATGAGGGTTGGGGGTGGGTAAATGTTGAGTACAGGATTCTAGTTGTGATGCATATTGTTGTGTACAAATGAGGGTCACCACTGTGTGTGTGTGTGTGTGTGTGTGTGTGTATGTGTGTGTGTGTGTGTGTGAGAGAGAGAGAGAGAGAGAGAGAGACAGTGAGAGTGTGTGAGTGCGAATGTATGTGTGTGAGAGAGAGAGAGAAGATCTTTCCCAAGTTGATGCACAGTACTCTGCTACAGAGACTAAGTTCTGGAGTGGCAGAACAGATTCTACAGAAGTGCAACAATGTTCTTACAGGGTTAGGATCAACTCCTGGACAGTGTAAACCCAATTCAGCACCTGCTGAACAAAGCTCCAGTGGCCCTCAAGTCTGAAAGGCAAGATAGAAGGGCTACGAAAGAAGGGAATCATCAAGAAATTAACAACACCTACAGCGAACACCTACAGCAAGCGAACATGAAACAACTTGAAAAGCTGAGAGTATGCATCAAACTAAGGAAACTAAATAAAACTTTTAAGAGATTCACGATCAAATGCCAGCCATCAAAGAAGTTTTGCCACAATTTGCAGATATTAAGTTTTTTTTTCAATCATTTGTGGAATGTGGGCCTCGCTGGCTGGTCAGCATTTATTGCCCATGCCTACTTGCCCTTGAGAAGGTGGTGGTGAGCTGCCTTCTTGAACTGCTGCAGACCATATGTTGTGGGTTGACCCACAATGCCATTAGGTAGGGAATTACAAGATTTTGATCCAGCAACAGTGAAGGAACAGTGATATATTTCCAAGTCATGATGGGGGTGGCTTGGAGCAGAGCTTGGAGATGGTGGTGATACCATGTATCTGCTGCCCTGGTCCTTCTAGATGGAAGTGGTTGTGGGTTTGGAAGGTGCTTTCTGAGGATCTTGGGTCAATTTCTGCAGTGCATCTTGTAGACAGTACACACTGCTGCTCCTGAGCGTTGGTGGAGGAAGCGGATGCTTGTGAATATAGTGCCAATCAAGCAGGCTGCTTTGACCTGGGTGGTGTCAAGCTTCTTGAGTGTTGTTGGAGCTACAGCAATCCAGGCAAATAGGGAGTATTCCATCACACTCCTGACTTGTGCCTTGTAGATGACGGACAAGCTTTGGAGAGTCATGAGGTGAGTTATTTGCTGCAGTATTCCTAGACTCTGACCTACTCTGGTAGCCACTGTGTTTATTTGGGGAGTCCAGTTGACCTTCTGGTCAATGGTAACCCCCAGGATGTTGACAGAGGGGGATTCAGTGATTGTAACACTATTGAATGTCAAGGGATGGTGGTTAGAATGTCTCTTCTTTGTGATGGCTGTAGCTTGTCATTTGCGCGGCGTGAATGTTACTTGTCACTTGTCAGCCCAAGCCTGGAAATTGCCATGATCTTGTTGTGTTTGATCATGGACTGATCCAGTATCTGAGGAGTTGTGAATGGTGCTGAACATTGTGCAATCATCGGCGAACATTCCCACTTCTGACCTAATGATGCACAGAAAGTTATTGATGAAACAGCTGAAGATGGTTGGGCCTAGGACACCACCCTGACAAACTCCTGCAGAGATGTCCTGGAGGTGAAATATCTGACCTCCAATAACCCTGACCATCTTTCTACGTGCCAGGTATGACTCCAACCAGCGGACAGTTTGTCCCCTGATAGCCTTTGATTTCAGTTTTGCTAGGGCTCCTTGATACCACACTCGATCAAATGCAGCCTGGGTGTCAAGGGCTGTCAATCTCACCTTACCCATTGAATTGAGAGTGGTTATCCATGTTTTAACCAAGGTGTCGCTGGGCAGGTCTTGCTGAGCAGGGGCTGCTTAATAGCACTGTTGATTACACCTTCCATCACTTTATTGATGATCGAGAAAACACTGATGGGACATTAATTGGCTGGGTTGGATTGTCCTGCTTTTGATGTACAGGACATACCTGGGCAATTTTCCACATTGTCGGGTAGATGCGGTGTTGTAACTGTACCGGAACAGCCTGTCCAGGGGAGTGGCAAGTTCTGGAGCACAAGTCTTCAGCACTAATGCCAGAATGTTGTCAGGACCCTCAGCCTTTGCAGTATCCAATGTCTCCAACTGTTTCTTGATATCACATGGAGTGAATCGAATTGGCTGAAGACTAGTATCTGAAATGCTGGGGACCATTGGAGGAGGCTCAGTTGGATCATCCACTTGGCACTTCTGACTGAAGATTGCTGTAAATGCTACAGCCTTATCTTTTGCACTGATGTGCTGGGCTCTTCCATCATTGAAGATGGGGATATTTGTAGAGCCTCCACCTCCTCCAGGGAGCTGTTTAATTGTTCATCACCATTCATGATTGGATGTGGTAAGACTGTAGAGCTTACACCTGATCTGTAAATTGTGGGATCGATTAGCTCTATCTATTACTTGCTGCTTATGCTGTTTGGTGTGAAGTACCCTTTTTGGTAGCTTCAAGAGGATGACACCACATTTTCAGGTATGCCTGATGCTGCTGTTGGCATGCACTCCTGCACTCTCATTGAATTTGGATAAGATATACAAGCAAGGGAAGCAGTAGTGTAACAAAGGATTTTGAGAGCAGCTGTTCTGATGAAGAAAGTAGAAGATGCTACAACACAGCGTGAAATCTTCCAAATCCACGTGAACCATGGGTATGTTACAGCACAGAAAGAGGCCATCCAGCCCATTGCGTCTGCTCTCAATTACCAATACCTGTTTTGCAGCTTTGCAGGTTACTGCATTTCAGGTGCTGATCCAAATCCATTTTAAATGAGTTGAGGGTTTCAACCTCAAGCATCACACGGTGCAGTGAATTCTGGGTACATACTGACCTCTGAGTGAAAAAAGGCTTCCTCAAGTTCCTCTAATCCTTCTACCAGCTTCAATCTCAACCCTGATTAGACTTCTCCACCAGAAGAAACAAGTCTTCTCTGTACATGCCAACTGGGCCCTCATTATTTTATACACTTTAATTATACTACCCGTACTCTTTCCAGAGGAAATGTGTCCTTCCTACAATGTGATATGTGCACAAAACTCCAGCTCTGGCCTAACCCATGTTGAATATAGATCCACAATTACATCCCTGCTCAATACTTCACCCTATGAAGAAAAGTACCACCAAATGTCTTCTTTACTATCTCACCTACCTGTGAAGCAGCAACTCAACATGTTTCTGAAAACCATCAAACCAGCACAGAATTTAACAGACAAGTACCTTGCTCAGATCAAACAAACTACCCAACAAGTTTCCAAATGTTGCAAGAATCAGTGATGGAAGGATCACTCAAAAGTGTCAAGGACACACCTATTTCTATGAGTGGATATCAGATACAGAGATATGAATTGACAGCCCAAGATAGCAAACTATACAAAAGAAGGCTAAGAGATTGGGAGGAGAGATGCCTGGATGCATTTTAGCAAGATACTGAGGAATTAGTCAAGTCTGAGGAAGACAAGGCATCTACTGACGAATATGAGCAGTGAAATCAAGGATTATATCAGCTAATGCAATGATTGTAATGCGTATCAAACTAACTATCAAGCTACACAGTTACTAATGACACATTACATCTCAGATAGACCATGGATGAAACCGAGAATAGATCTCTTCACACTCGCAAGAACTGACTATCTTGTCACTGGGAAGTATTATTCTGATTTCACTGGCCATCGCTGAGATTGTCGAATGTCTGAATGCTGTTATGGCATTCTCGACATCATTATGGGAAACTAGGGAAGAGATTGCAGGGCCCCTTGCTGGGATATTTGGATTATCAATAGCCACAGGTAAGGTGCCAGACTTAAGAGGGTGCCTAATATTGTGCCATTGTTTCAGAAAGGCTGCAAAGAAATTCCAGAGAACTATAGGCCTGTATGTTCATGGAATCCCTACAGTGTGGAAACAGGCCCTTTGGCCCAACAAGTCCACACCAAACCTCAGAGGATCCCACCTAGACCCATACCCCTATGACCCACCTAATCTGCATATCCCTGAACACTATGGGCAATTTAGCATGGCGAATCCACCTAGCCTGCACATCTTTGGACTGTGGGAGGAAACTGGAGCACCCGGAGGAAACCCACGCAGACACGGGGAGAATGTGCAAACTTCACACAGACAGTCACCCAAGGGTGGAATTAAACCCAGATCCCTGGCGCTGTGAGGCAGCAGGGCTAACCACTGAGACACCATGTCGCCCATGGACGACACCAAATGGGAAAGTTGCTGGAGGAGATTCTCAGAGAAAGCATTTGGAAAGGCAAGAACTGATTAGGGATAGTCAGCATGGATTTATGTGTGGGAAATCGCGTCTCACAAATTTGATTGAGTCTTTTTGAAGAGATTACCAAGAAGAA